GGCAGGGCGGCCGGCGACGCCCCCGGCCCGCTCTCAGGCCCACCCGACCCGGCGCCCCTTGCCGCGCCGCGCTCTTGCCTGCTGCGGGCTCGGCCACGCACTCGCCACCCTCACCCTCCCGGCTAGTGTAAAGTTCCTGCCGAATTGGAGGCAAGCGAGAGACGAACGAGCACGGGACAGACCCACGTCTAGCCAGTCGAAGCTGAAGTCCCGGACGGAGATGACAGGGACTGACCCACGGCCACTCTAGTCCGGTAGCGTGTGGGAGAGGCAGGCAGGAGACTCAACGATGGCGAAGAGACTACTCGACAGACTCCTTGAGAGGACGAGGTGGATGGAGTCGACCCATGGGAAGGAGGAAGCCCTGGGAAATGGGAGAAGTGACTGCTGGACGGCAGGGTCACTCCAGGAGAAGACAGCGACCAAGCACTGGACTCTTGAGGTTTCCCTGAAGAGAACAGAGGACAGGAGAGCTCCAGGAATGAGGGCTGCAGACTGGCATACCCTGGCTCCTGGAGTGGACAGTGAAAGTGGTGGAAAGTGGTCATGTACCAAACAATATCTGGATAGTAGTGATACTACTATCAACAGGGCAGAGAAACGGTGTTAAACATACTTGCATCATTCCAAAGAATATGCTCATAAAATGAAAACTGCACACACAGCAAAGTCCTATTGTTGTTAAGTGCTGTAGAGTTGATTCCGACCCATAGCGACCCTATACAGGGTTTCTGAGGCTGTAAATCTTTACGGGAGAAGGAAGCCTCATCTTTCTCCCTGGGAACGGCTGGTAGTTTCGAACTGCTGACCTTGAGGTTAGCAGCCCAATTCGTAACCATAAGTCCTAGATGTTTGTTAACCACCAGATCACCGAGGGGATGACCCAGAGGCACACATATGATAGACTTGTTGAAGGACAGGATACCGTATCAAAGGCTTTGAACTGGGTCTCTACCTTCTCATGAGCCCCAAAAGGTTCAACATTTGCTTAGGTTCATAAAAGGGACTAATACTGGGGGCAGGTGGATGATAGGTGGAAAATGGAGGACAAGGTAGGGACAAAAGCATACTTGTACATGCCTCTTCCTCTTTATGCCTTTATACATTTGCTCTTCTTCCGTGGGGAGATCGTTTAGCCTAATGGGTCTGCACTGAGCGACTTTGAACTAAGTAAAAGCAAATACCCGCTAGCAACAGAGGTAGATTCTGCAAGAAATTAACATCAACCTGCTGAGTGGTTGTGGCACATTTGAAAGACACACACGATTGTCCAACTAGACCAATAAATAACATGATAAATGGTAAAGCAACTGATGTTGTCAAGGATTTCATTTTATTTAGCTCTACAATCAACACCCATGGAAGCAGCAGTCAAGAAATAAAATGGCATGTTGCATTGGGCAAATCTGCTGCAAAAACCTCTTCACAGTGTTTAAAAACGAAGTTGTTACCTTAAGGACAAAGGTGTGCTTGACCCAAAACCGTGGTATTTTCCATTGTTTCATCTGTATTGGAAAGCTGGCCAATGAATAAAGAACACCGAAGAAGCAATGCCTTTGGATGATGGTGTTAACCAAGAATATTGAATGGACTGCCGGAGAATGAACAAACCTATCATGGAACAAGTTCAGCCAGAAAGCTCCTTAGAAGTGACTATGGCAAGATTTAATCTCAGCTAATTTGGACAAGAGGAGGGACCAGTCTGTAAAGACGGACATTATGCTGAGTAGAGGGTTAGTGACAAAAAGGAAAATACTAAACAAGATGACTGAGACGAGAAGCATCAATGGGATTAAACATAGCAATTATTTTTAGGATGGCACAGGACCGGGTAGTGTTTCATTCTGTTTTATATAGGGGTGCCAAGAGTTCGAGCCAATGTCACCTAAAAACTACATGGAAAAGAAAGCCAGATAAATGTGGAAAAGAAAAAGTGTGCAGATACAATCAGGAAAGTATGGTACTTCCCTACAGAGATTTAGAGCGGAGAGTAAACTCAGCTACAAGAGCTATTCTCCCAACCAGGTACTAAAATGGAAGTGGTACTAAGTGATAGAGTTGAAGTTCATGTTGTAATCTTAGAAGTTGAGAGACATTTTAGAAGCCAAATCTTTTTGGTCTTTTAATCCAAAGTGAAGATTCTGGGTTTTAACCTGGGGTCCCCTTCAGCACCACCTCTTCCCAGAGAGACTGGATGATGAAGGGAGAGAGGGCAACCTTGAAAAGCTTTGTCAAGGCATCTCAAACTTACTCCACCGGTAAAAGTTTATTACTTATGGAAATTTTAAGGGAAAATCACTTCAACCATTTCAAAACATCATAAAGACATGGAAAATTACACTTCCCCTGCTGTGAAAGATATCTTGCGATCTTTTGTCCAATCAAATAACTCAAAAACAGCTGAACTTTGAGATCGGAGGTTTGGCAAATGTTGTATGTACTGTCCCTAATGAGGCGTTCAGAATTTTCAAAGTAAAAAATTACTTGAAGTTAAGTGCACGTGATAATTTAAGAATTGTGGCAGTGAGCATATCCTGTGAACACAGTCATTAAGCGGTGTCCTGAGCAGCATGACCATAGACAGAGCTGGAATTCAGAGTCATGAAGGAAATGTCTCTAACAGCCTGTCTTGTATGCTACACTAAGAAATAGGTTTTCTTCACAGGAAATCTTGGCTAATCCAAATTATACACATGGCATTAGATGCCAGTTAATGGAATACACAGACTCATTCATTGACATGCACTAATTTAGTAGTTTCTGGAGATACTGCTTTTATGAACTCCTACAGGTTTTCTTTGTGTTTGCTACCACTCATCTGTCACTTTATCATATTGTAGTGGCTTGTGTGTTGCTATAATGCTGAAAGCTATGCCACTGATATTTTAAATATCACCTAGGGTGGACAGGTTTCAGCTGAGCTTCCAGACTAAGACAAGGAAAAGGGAGAGCATACGATCAAGAATCACTAGTAATGAAGTAAGAAATCCAAGGTGCACTGAAGGCATTGACAAAGACCAAGGCTATGGGAATTGATGGAATACGTACTGAAATCTTTCAACAAACTGATCTAACACTGGAGGCACTCACTCATCTATGCCAAGTAATTTGGAAGACGGCTACCTGGCCAACTGATTGGAAGATATCCATATTTGTGCCCATTTCAAAGAGAGGTGACCCAACGGAATGCAGAAAGCATTAGACAATATCGTTAATATAACGTGCAAGCAGCAATTGGATGAGTATAATTCAAAAGTGGTTGCAACTGTACATTGACAGGGAACTTGCCAGAGATTCAAGCAGAATTCAGATAAGGATGTAAAACTAGGGATAACCTTACTGATGTCAAATGGATCTTGGCTGAAAG